TTCTCCAACATCTTCGTCTCGATCAATTGTTGATCAATACGAGAATCCTTTCTACCTTCACAACTCAGATCATGCCGGCTTGAATCTTGTTACGGATCGCCTTTCTTCTGGAGCTGACTTACATTCTTGGCGCCGATCTATTCGAATGGCTCTCAATGTGAGAAACAAACTTGGCTTCATTGACGGTACTATCTTGAAACCCCCTGCTAATCATAAAGACTCTGGTGCGTGGTCTAGATGCAATGATATAGTCTCTACGTGGTTAATGAATTCGGTTTCAAAGAAGATAGGTCAGAGCTTGCTGTTTATGTCTAGTGCTGAGTGTATTTGGAAGAATCTTATGACTCGTTTTAAGCAAGATGATGCTCCTCGCATTTATGAGATTGAACAGAAACTGAGTTCTATACAGCAAGGATCTTTGGATATCAGTACGTATTATACTGAATTGGTCACGCTTTGGGAGGAGTATCAAGATTATGTTGACCTTCCTGTGTGTACTTGTGGCAAGTGTGAGTGTAGTGCTGCTGTTTCGTGGGAGAAGTTACAACACAGGAGTCGTGTTATGAAGTTTTTGATGGGATTGAATGAGTCTTATGAAGCTACAAGACGTCATATCTTGATGTTGAAGCCTATCCCATCTATGGAAGAAGTTTTTAACTTGGTGATTCAGGATGAGCGTCAGAAGAGTATTAAACCGACTACCCCTGTTGATAATGTGGTTTTCCAGAGTTCTGCATCTAATCCTGATCAGTCTCAATACTCTGGACCTGTTGAGAATGCGGCTTATGCAGCTGCTATGAACAATAACTATCGTTCTCGACCTCGACCAATGTGTACTCACTGTGGAGTTGCAGGACATATTGTCCAGAAGTGTTTTAAACTTCATGGTTATCCTCCTGGTCATCGGTTCTATAATAATTCTCAACGTGGCAATTCGCAGACTAATACTTCTTCTGGTGCTTCTCAACGTTCTACTCAGACGAAACCAACACAGTCTTACTCTAAGCAGAATCAGGTTGCTAATGTCTCAGCTGCTTCTCCTTCGTCTGGTGTCTCGTTGGATCTGAGTGGTTTTCATCCTGAACAAGTTCAGAAGCTTATTCAGCAGTTACAGTCTCAAATACGAACTCCTGAACCTGTTGCTTCACAGTCATTGGTTAATGCGTCTATCACAGACAACGGTTTCATGGCTGCTCAGTCTTCCAGTGGTATTGTCTCTTTTCCTTCCACTAGTCTCCGTTTTGAACATCAAACTTTAACCTTTCAGCACCAAACACTTTCTTCTTTATCCACTACTATCCCTTTAGGTTCTTGGATTATAGATAGTGGTGCTACTACACATGTTTGTTCTGGCTTGTCTCTCTTTAGTTCAGTGTCTCTTGTTTCAGGAATAACAGTTTCTCTTCCAAATGGTACTAAGGAACCAATCACTCACACTGGCACTGTGCATTTATCTGACTCTCTTGTTTTGCATAATGTTTTGCATGTTCCTTCTTTCCGTTTCAATCTCATCAGTGTTAGTAGTCTGCTAATTCAACATCGTCATTCTGCTCATTTCTTTTTTGATTCTTGTCATATACAGGAGCATACTCAGGGCTTGATGATTGGTAGAGGTTCTGTCATTCACAATCTTTATGTTCTTGATCAGCATTTTCATTCTCCGTCTTTGAACTTCTGTGGATCCTTGAAGGTTGATGGTTCTCTTTGGCATCAACGCCTCGGTCATCCATCTTCTGCCAAGTTACAACATCTCTCTGCTGATATTGCTTTAGATAAGTCCACTTTACTTGAGTCTTCACCTTGTTCTGTTTGTCCCTTAGCTAAGCAACGTCATTTACCCTTTCCTCATAAGAATAATATGTCTCAGGAACCATTTGATCTTATTCATATAGACACTTGGGGTCCTTTTAGTGTTGAATCTGTTGAGGGATATAGGTATTTTCTGACTATTGTAGATGACAATACTCGTGTAACTTGGATCTATATGATGAAATATAAAAGTGATGTTTCGGTTATCTTACCTTCCTTTGTTAAACTTGTGCGTACTCAGTATAAAGCTAATATCAAAATGATTCGTAGTGATAATGCTCAGGAACTAGCTTTCTCAAATTTGATTCGCGAACATGGTATTTTACATCAATTTTCATGTGCTTATACTCCACAACAGAACTCTGTTGTTGAGCAAACATCAACACCTTTTGAATGTAGCTAGAGCATTAATGTTTCAATCTCACATGCCACTGCAATATTGGAGTGACTGCATTCTTACTGCTGTCTTCTTGATTAACCGAACACCATCTTTGCTTTTAGACAAATTATCACCATTTGAAAAACTTACTGGTCAGAAACCTGATTACAGTTTTCTTAAATCTTTTGGCTGCCTTTGCTATGTTTCTACTTTACAAAAGGATAGACATAAGTTTTCTCCTCGTGCTGAATCATCTGTCTTTTTAGGCTATCCTTCAGGTATCAAAGGTTATAAAGTTCTTAATCTTGAAACTCGAATTGTTTCTGTGTCTCGTAATGTCATTTTTCAAGAAACAGAGTTTCCTTTTCTGAAGATTAATGATACTTCTTCTCCTGAAACTATATTTTCTCATTCAATCTTGCCATTACCTGTTCCCATTGCCATTGATTCTTTGCATCATCAATCATTTGATTCACCATTGGCTCATGTTTTACCCAATGCATCATCTTCGCATGTTTCACCTCATACATCATCTTCACATGTTTCTTCTGATGCATCTTCTTCACATGATTCGGTTCCTTCTCCTGTACCTTTGGCAAGACCTACTGTTGTTTCTGGAACAACAAACATTGGACCTGAGAGGACACGTCCAAAACGAGCAGGTAAGTCACCAACTTATCTTTCTGATTACCATTGCTCTTTAATCTCAATGGATTCTTCTTTACAAGACCATTTTGTTTCAAATACTATTTCTTCCTCTTCCCCACTTTATCCGCTTTCCTCAGTTCTCTCTTACAATAAACTTTCTCATTCTTTTAAAGATGCTCTTCTCACTTGTTCTCTTGAGACAGTACCAACATCTTTTAAGCAGGCTGTGAAATCTGAGTTTTGGACCAAAGCCATGAATGTGGAGTTTGAGGGAATGGAACGTAATGAAACTTTTACTGTTGTTTCTTTGCCTCCTGGTAAAAATGTGGTGGGTTGCAGATGGATCTATACTCTTAAGTATAATGCTGATGGCACTATTGAGAGACCTAAAGCTCGTCTTGTTGCTAAGGGTTTTACTCAACAAGAAGGTTTGGATTACACTGACACCTTCTCTCCGGTTGCAAAGATGACGAGTGTGAAGCTTATTCTTAGTCTTGCTGCTTCACATGGTTGGAGTTTGGATCAGATGGATGTTACTAATGCCTTTTTGCATAGTACACTTGATGAAGAAATTTATATGAGCTTACCGTTGGGATATACTCCTCCTCCTGGTGTTCCTTTGCCACCAAATCCGGTTTGCCGTCTCAACAAATCCTTGTATGGTCTTAAGCAGGCTTCTCGGCAATGGTACACTTGCTTCTCAACGGTTCTGTTATCTGATGGCTTCTCTGCCTCTCCTGGAGATAATTCTCTTTTTGTGAAGACTTATGGTTCTTCCTTCATTGCCTTGCTTGTGTATGTCGATGACATTCTTATCGCAAGTAATGATCCACAGGCTGTTCTTGATGTAAAGAAGGTTTTACATCAGGCTTTCAAGATTAAGGATCTTGGTCCTGCTCGTTTCTTCCTTGGGCTGGAGATAGCAAGGAACTCTACTGGTATTTCTTTATCACAACGGAAATATACTCTTGATTTGTTAGCTGACACAGGTTTACTTGCCTCTAAACCGTGTGCTGTTCCTATGGATCCTTCCATTCCGTTGAGTTCAACAACTGGTTGTCCACTTCCTGATGCTACTCCCTATCGAGAGTTAATTGGTCGACTGTTGTATCTCACCATCACGAGACCGGACATCACTTATGCAGTTCATCGCTTGAGTCAGTTTCTCTCTGCTCCTACGGATGTGCATTTCCAGGCTGCTCAACGTATCATGAGGTATCTGAAGTGTAACCCTGGTCAAGGTCTGTTTTATGCTGCTGATTCAGAGACTTGTTTGAATGCCTTTGTTGATGCTGATTGGGCTGCTTGTCAAGACACTAGGCGTTCTGTTACTGGCTTTTGTGTTTATCTTGGCAAGTCTCTGATAAGTTGGAAGTGTAAGAAGCAGCAGACAGTGAGTCGTAGCAGTACAGAGGCTGAGTATAGGAGTATGGCTTTGGCGACTTGTGAGCTTATTTGGTTGCAGCAGTTGTTGAACGACTTGAAGATCTCAGTCAAGCATACGGCTAAGCTCTTCTGTGACAACAAATCTGCCATCCATATTGCTACTAACCCTGTGTTTCATGAGCGAACCAAACACATAGAGATCGATTGTCACACTACACGTGATCAAGTGAAGAAATGATTCATCAAGCTTATTCATGTGGTCAGTGCTGATAATCATGCAGACATCTTCACCAAACCGCTTCATCCATCACCTTTTCATCACATTCTTTCTCGAATGTCTGTTTCAAGCCTCTTCTCTCCATCACTATCTTCCATTTCAGAGGCTTGAGGGGGGCGTATTGAGTATACTAGAGTGTACTATTGACCTCAAATACTTGTATAGAAACAGAGGCTTTAGTACACTTAACCATATTCTCTACACTTGTATATAAAGAACCATCATGTACATTTTATCATTAATCTAAGATACAATTTTAAGTTCTTGAGCTCTTTCTCTCTCGTTCTTGTTAGAACACCCTCCACAGAATTCACTTACCCCCCATTCGAGAGGTTATTGAACGACATGGGAGATAAAAGATTCTCTTGCACAACAGACTAAACAGTCTCATGAAACATCACACTCTCATAGACAAAATGAAGGAAAGTCATTTGGTGCCTAAAAATTCGAAGTAGACACAGGGGATAAGATACGATACATCACCCGTATCGAGAATGTTCCTCAAAGACGACTAATGACTGCTTCAACTTCTTCTGGAGTGTAGAGATGGTACGCTGGAGCTACCTTGGCAATGTCCACATTGTTTGGAGTGACCTACATAGACCAGACCCATTTAGATGTGATCAATCACTTCTGTAAATTGTATAAGTTTTGGATTGAAAAGATTATACCTTTTCTTCCATAACTTGCTTGAGGATGGACACAGCGATCTTCTCAGCTTCTTCAAGTGACAGATCCTGCATCAAAGTTAAGAAAGGAGTAAATGGTCCAATCAGATTGAGGAATTAGTTATTGTACAAGTTCTCAAGTTACTTTGTTGAATTGCTCTTGAAGAGAACTATCAGCTCCTTCTGACCCAGAACCAATTGCTTTAGCATTGCACTGCCAAAATGTTCCAGACGGGTCAGTGTAGTACCTGTAACAAGACCGAGTCGTTTGAGAAATTTGATCAACTAACTTACCAGCAAGTGAATCATATCAGTTGAGCAAAGCTTCAGTGAATAAATACTTACAAGCTTGGTCCATTTTCATCATGACCAGCAATGAGAAGGGATACTCCAAATGGCCGAGACTGTAATAACATTGATTAAGAAGAAAATCAGTACTCGTGAGTCATGTCAAATAAGGATTTCAATGATTTTTGTTCTGGAAAAAATGATTTCAATCATACAGCCTAAGCCAAGCTATATCTGAAAGCAACTAGAGATTCCAATTCGATTATCAGCTATTACCATTGATTCTTCATCTCCTTCACCAAACCGTAAAGCCAGATCACACAGCGCTTGGGTTGTGGACTCCACAGTCATTGGCTCACCGTACGAGAACCTGTGGTTCTGTACAGCAGAAAAACAATAACATCAAAGGTCTTTTCAGCTAGAAGGAAAACAATATCAGAGAAAGAGAAATCTCACTTGAGTCTCAACTCTTGCATGCTCAACAAGTGTACGTGCATCAGCAATCAAACCGCTCATAGCACAGCCAATATGGTCATCAATTTCCATGATCTTCTCCACACTGCTCGGCTCCTGAACATTTAAATGTAAGTAGTTTAACATCAACTGGGAATCTTATATATCACCATAAGTAACCAGAAAACTTATACTCATTCTATCTTCAGATATCATCGACACCCCAGCACTAGGTAATCAATTTGTTAAATCAAATAAATGTCAACAAATCAGAACTTTGAGAAACCGAGAATTCAACTGTAAACAGACAAACCAGCAAAGGAGAAGTGATACGCTTCTCGACAGCAAGCACAACTCCATCTTTTGTCTTCACTCCAATTGCAGTAGAACCAAGCTACAATAATTCAGCACTAATCAGAAACTCAAGAATACAGCCAGTAAACAAGGGAATATGATCAAAATTCTGCAATAGTCTAGGTAATCAGAAATCAGTTTCCAGGGAAGAACCCTTTCTTCAACATCACTCAATGCTTCTACTAAATATTCTCTATTGCTTCAGTGGCAACAAGTTACAATATGCACACACAGGGAATTTTATTCCAAGTCCAAACCTCAGTATACCACTACTAGGCGAGTAAGCAAGTAAATATGAGCAAAATTCTGCAATAGTCCAAGCAATTCAGAACCATTTCTTCAACGTGTCTCTCGATTCTTCTACTATCTATACTCTATAACTTCACTGGCAAGAGGTCCTCGAGTTATAACATGCATACACAGTTGAAAATTTTGTTCTAAGTCCTAGCCTAAATGTAAAAACTACTAAGCAGTCAAGTAGATACTACTCAGAGAAGCTAATAGAAGAGTTACCTTGATAGCTTCAGTGGCATACTCGACTTGAAATAGCCTTCCTTCAGGAGAAAAAGTGTTGACTCCTCTGTCATACTCGGTCCTTCCAACACAACAAAATCAGAAAATCACGATAATCAAGAACCCACGACTGAAACATAAAAAGGAAGAGAATTTAAATGAACCCAGAAGCAGGAGAACACAGATTTGGGTGAAATGCGGAGGAAGACAGACCTAGTGAGAAACATCTTCTTCTTCTTCTTCTTCTTCTTCTTCTTCTTCTTCTTCTTCCGCGACTTCGATCTCAAGTGTCTGCACAACAGAATCAAAACCCTAGAACATTAACAGGTCTGGGTAAACCCTAAAACTCAGGAACAACAGAATCGAAACCCTTGTTGAGATTAAAGAATCATACAGGCTGAGATTGATCGGCAAATCGAAGAAACTGCCCCCGGATGCTTTTACAAGTTTGCTAAAGTTCACTTCTTGAACAACAAGTTAGATGATCGAAACGCGTCGTTTTCCTTATGGGCTTTTACTAGGCCTAACAATCTCACTCGTGGTAAAAAGTTAATCGACAAGGTATTAACTTTTTCCTCTTGATTTTGATAATGGACTGGAGTTTTAGTGGGGTTATTGGACTTTAATTAATATATTTAAAATTTTAAACTAAATTATATTTCATAGTTTAGTTTATTGTTGTCAAAAAAAAATTTATATGTTATTGGATTAGCATTAGTATTCTTTTTTTCTTTCAGTACCACCGGCACCTATTATAGTACTAGTGGAAGCCGATCGCGAAATATTATTTTAAGAAGTCGTGGAGTTTGAGTTTTAATTTCTGCTGAACTGAAGGTTTGTTAATTTGGATTGTATGTGTGATACTCATAAAATTTTGTGTGTTTATATTTATTTCACGTTATCCCAATTTTTTCTTCTGTACACATTTCTAGACTTTCCAAAAAAAAATCATAAGAAAATAAATAAGATGGAAGATCCTATGTATAATATAACCAACATAATAAAATCATAAGGTTCTCTCTAGAGCATGACACATCAAATTTTAAAATGTCTGTGAGACTGCCATGTCAATAAATAAAAAAAGGGAAAATCGCATAAAAAACCATTAAGGTGGCAACCACTTACACTTTAAACTCCGAGAGTATTTTACAAGCACTTTAAACACTCAAGTTGGCAAATTTAACATATTAAACCTCCAATCTGGTTTACTTGTACATCAAGTTAAAAATGTGACCGGTACTGTTCAAAATCGATGACGTGTCGGTTTTTTTTTTAAAAAAAAAAATATTTTCCTAAAAAGTAAATATAAAAATACAGAAAATATAAAAATTCATTAAAAATTCATTAAATATCATTAAAAAATCATTAAAAATTGAAAAAAAATCATAAAAAAATTCAAAAAATCAGAAAAATCATAAACACTAAAAAATCACAAAATAATTAAAATATTTTATTAATAAAATATTAAAAATAAGAAAAACTTAAAAGAAATTATAAAAAAAAATCTAAAAATAAGAAAATTCAAAATTTTTTAATAAAATAAAAATGAAATTTAAATAAAATTAATATAAGAATAATAGATAAAATAAATATAAATTCAAGAATAAATAATTTTATTTGTTCTATAAAAAAACGAGAAAACACTATATTTTTCTTAAAAGAAAGAATCATTATCTTCAAATGATTCTCGTGAACCAAATCAAAGCAAACAAATTAAATTCCAAGTCATTTTGTTCTCATTTTGTTGCTTATTAGTCGAGATTTTCTGGATTTTATAACTAGATTAATATAGGGTATTTTAATAACTGCTAAAAGATTTGGATTTTAACTTGATTCATTTGATTTGGTTCACAAGAATCATTTGATGGTATATATCATATACATTCAATTATACGATGACATATATATAATATATAATAGTGACACGAAAAACAAATAACAATATAATTTTAAAAAAAAACTTATGCAGGTGAAAGTCTACGTGCTAAAAGACTTGGAATTTAATTTGTTGCTTTGATTTGGTTCACGAGAATCATTTGAAGATAATGATTCTTTTTTTAAAAAAATATAGTGTTTTCTCATTTTTTATAAAAAAAAATAAAATTATTTATTCTTAAATTTATATTTATTTTATCTATTATTCTTATATTAATTTTATTTAAATTTTATTTTTTATTTTATTTAAAATTTTTTGAATTTTCTTATTTTGGGATTTTTTTATAATTTCTTTTAAGTTTTTCTTATTTTTAATATTTTATTAATAAAATATTTTAATTATTTTTTGATTTTTTAATGTTTATGATTTTTCTGATTTTTTTGAATTTTTATGATTTTTTTTTCAATTTTAATGAATTTTTAATGAATTTTTTTTTTTGTATTTTTATATTTATTTTTTAGTAAAATATTTTTTTTTTAAAAAAAAACCGACACTTCATCACTTTTGAACAGTACCGGTCACATTTTTAACTTGATGTACAAGTAAGCCAGATTGGAGGTTTAATATGCTAAATTTGCCAACTTGAGTGTTTAAAGTGCTTGTAAAATACTTTCAAGGTTTAAAGTGTAAGTGGTTGCCACCTTGAAGGTTTTTTATGCGATTTTCCCAGTAAAAAACTATGAAAACCAATCAAAACATATCTCAACATGTCACTTTTGTCTTGTGCTCTACCTTTTCTTCACAATTATATCATCACTTTCACTTGTCTAAGATTTCCAATCGGAAACATTAACAATCAGACGGGTTCTTCGCTCTTTCTCTTCCTTTTTCGATTTGATCGATCTCTCTCTTCCTCTTTCGCTTTGAAATCGAACGAGGATAGAGAAAAAAACAACAAAGATAACAAAATCAGAAGAACTTCAAACCCAATCAGGGATCTTCACCACTCTCTTCTCTGTTGAGGAGGCTGAGGCGGCGAAAGTTCCAGCTTTTCAAGTCTCTTCTTTGTTAACAACTCTTTCCGGCGAAAGAAGCATATGCCAGAAACAACCAAACCTAATATTGTTTGAATGTTTGGTGGTGACAAACCTAATATTGTCTGAAGTCTCTCAAAATATTGTCCCTGAAGAGCCTCTAGTGGAGGTAGTACCAGAGTGTCACAAGAAATTATTAGCCAATATGGTTTGGGTTTGCGAAGAGGTAAATGCCTTACTTCTTTTTGTTGTTATCACCTTGTTTTTGTTGGAATGATTTGTAGCTTTAGTGGTTAGAAACCCATGACAATATTTGAACTTTGGACTTATTAATCAATCTCTAGAAAACTTTTGGTCTTCTTTGGGAGGAAAAATGTATAGTACAAGTTCAAATTCTCATATTTTCTTCAGATACGTGAGTAAGCACCGTCTATAATAGAGCAAGACGGACTATCGTTTATAGAAGATCAGTTTCACAACCACCCACGAAATGTGTGCGTTAGATCCAAATTCCACCAAATAAAAACTTATCACATAACCAAATATTGACTCTGCTATGCTGTGAATAAACACATCAGAGAGATGTAGACCAGTGAAGATACCCTGCAAGCTGCAGCAAAAAAAAAAAAAAGATACCTACTGGACTACTGATGTGAAGAAGCTGGTGAGAGGTCCGTAGCATTGTTTGCTTAATAAGATATGATTTCCTCATGATCTCTTTAGGTTTTGAAACCACAGCCATGTCAGTTTCTTAACAGAATAATGATTTAAAATAGACATGATACATAGTATAGAAACGAGATACATAAATATTAATAAAATATGTGTTGCATTATGTAGACATAGAAACCTACAAGATGAGACTATGTCTAATTAAAATTTACACAAAATTTATATAATCAATGAACTTTGTTTTTTATATATTGATTTCAAAGTTGTTGATATCATCTTTTCTCTGTTTTTTGTTTAGATTGGATGTTTCCTGTGATGGTGTGTTTTTGTTTACCACAAATGACTTGTTCGAATTACAAATTTTGATTGGAGAAAATATTTAATGTGTATTATTTTAATCTTATAATGTTTCCAACTCTATTAGTAAATATAATTCTTACTAATATAAATTATTTCTCAGATTTTTTTTTTGGGGTTTAGAGTTTTCATTTCTGATTTTCTTTTGTTAACTAAAGTTCTGAATGTTTTTTTGTTATAATTCCAAAATTTAAATTTTTTTTATAAGTAAACTTTTATGTCGATTAGTAATATTCACATTTCAAATCAAACATATAGAGGGTTTCTATAAGTTCAGTATTTTATTTATTTATATCTATATTTAAATGAATTTTGAAGTAGAAAATAAATAGAGGGAGAGAAGTTCTTCAATATATATTGAATTGAATCCAAAAAGGTTTTCTTAATCTTTAAAAAATAGTTGCATTCGTAAAAAAAATACTTTTTAATCACTATTATGATAATATTCTATTTTCATTTGATTCTTCTATTAAAAATAAGATTTGAAGATTATAAATCATTTAGAGATTTAAATATAAAATTATTTATTAAAATATCTTCAGACATTTAATAATTTTAAATAATTTATATATTTAAAGCTATAATTAAAATATTTTTATTTTAAATAAACAATTTATAAATTTTATTATTAATAAAATAGCATAAATTTACAAGTAAAAATCTGTTTGTATTAATTCAGCTCGGCGTGTAGTGCGGGTAATTACCTAGTTTATTCAAACTTAAAAAAAAAAGCAATATACTAAGTACCAGCAATGTGTGAATTCTACTGAGCAACACCCGGAAGTAGAAAATTAAGCATTACCTGCATTTTCCAGCGTGCCCATCCTCATGAAGCTTATACTGTGGAAAAGTTCATTATGCACCACATCTAGTGAAGCTGTAGCTCATTCTATCAATTTTGAAGTAGCCATCCCAACTCTGGTCGGAAGGCACCCATGTTCACATCATGAGAGGGATTGACTTTTCACAACATGTGTTTCAATGAAGCAAAAGTTTGGGCTGCTCCGTGAAACGTCGATCAAACTTGATCATAAAGAGCTCTTTGGCTGAGCAGTTATCTAAAGGTGTAGAGCCAGTTGAAGTTGATGGAAGCTTGGATCAATGTTTATTGTGAAGTATCAGAAGGAGATAAAACATATCGAGAATTTCAAGACTCGAGGAGATTACCTTCCCATTGACTAAAAGAACATCTACACCCATGGGCTCTCCACCTTTGTTAACATTGTGTGCTATCCAGAAACATTTAAGCTTTGCCTCAGCCCACTGTCTTCACCGTCCTACCTTAAATTCAAAGAAATGAAGCTACAAAGATGCCATATTCATAGAGGCTTAGGAGTCGGTTGGCATTCACGGGGCCTTGGATAAGCGTTGACTATTTCACAATACCAAATAATCAGATTGTAAACATCCAGTCGTCATATGCGCATAATCAATTACAATAAAGAGAAGAGGGAGTTCATCGGAGTTACCTTCTCATCCAAAAGTAGCATGTCGACACTCATTAGTTCACATCCTTTCTTGACATTCCTAGCCTCCAAAAACCTCAGGCGGACTTCAGAGGTATTCAAACAACGAACAGCCTTCAAGTCCGCAAGAGGCGTGTAGGGGTTGGCCATTGTTGATGTCGAAGCTTGACATTGATTGAACTTTGGGATTTCGAAACAATGTGGCTGTTCATCGCAGAGAAAAAACACGTTAATAATCGGAACTATGTTGAGCTTTGATTCAATCAAAAGCTTCCAACCATTATTTCGGAGGATAATGATGATGTTTAATGGCGAGAGAAAGGAATGAGAAGTGGGTAAAATGTTAATGCTTAGATTAAAGAAAAAGTAAAGTGGAAATGGAAAACGTTACATAGGCGCTAGTCGGGATGATTAAGAGACGAAGAGTCACGGGGACGGAACCAAATTTTTTCTTCATCACAAGTCCAACCCTAATAGCAAATTGCCATGTATAAGCAGTTTGGGAAATAACCTATTAAACCAACAAAAAAGTAAAAATCATTTAGTAAGATACATATTACCATTTTAACCAAAAAAAGAGGACATGTGGCATTGTTTATATGGAAATAAAAAAACAATTTTATTATGATAGATTTTTTCTTCATCATAGATTTTATGTTAAAAATAGGAAATGAATCTGAAATACTGATTAAACTAGGATAAGACCTGCGATTTGCGCAAGGTGAGTGTATGTAATTAAAATATAAAATTTTAGTATTCACAAATTTAAAATTTACATATGATTGTTTTTATGTATTTGGAATTAAATTTTTATATAATTATGTATACGTAAGATCAAAAACAATTGTAATTACAACCGTAGATCAAAACTTATAATTTAATGGGACCGGTTGATATATCTTTTCACTTATGGAAAATAAAAGGAGTGTCACATGACTTAATTGGTAGAGCATTATCAAGTTCCCTAATGCTTTCTTAACAAGCAGTTGGTTGAATATACACATTTAGAATATATTAAATTTTAAAACTAATTTAATATAATTTATTTATTTGTCTAATAATATTAGAAAACTATATTTTTCAAATTAATTTTTAAATAAAATTTAATTTTTAAATAAAAAATAATTTTATAAAAATTAAGTTAAATTTGAAATTATAATTATGTTTAAAATAAAATTATTTATTACGATATGAGATATATATATATATATATGTGTATATATATATATTAACATAAACACCTAATTAAAATAAATTTATTTATTCATATGATTTTCTAATCATTGTAACTTCTTATAGAAAAAAAAATTAGACCTTGATCACAAAAGTTTATGTGAGTTTTTTAACAGTTTTAGTAATTTATACTCGTTTTAAAAATTTCAAAATACAACATATATAAAAAAGTCTAATTTTTTTTCTATATGATTAGTGTAGTTGTGTAATTTATTTTAAAAATAAAATTATAAAGTATACATATTGTTAACAAATATTTATTATTTAAAATGATTAATAGTCATATATATCTTAATCACATTAGGTAATTTCGTAGGTTTTATTTAAGAAAAGAATATAGAGGAGATTTAGTTTGATATGTTATTTAATTTGATATGTCTTATATGAGACCAACTGACTTTGTTTTAAACCTATGTTTTATATGAGGTTCTCTAGAATTCTTCCAAGTAGAATTTCATAGAGAACTGCCACATAAGATATGATTTTTTTTAATTAGTACAAACTTAAGATTATAACTTTTTAAATGATCATCAATTAATATATAAGGGATTTGGTGTGTGCATTTAAATCAAACGATTATTCTTATTTTTTAACAGTCATTATATGGTAAATAAATCAACACAATCAATTTTATCCAGCATATATTAGATACAATTAAATTTAAATTAAATTAAGAATATCTATAATATATTTTAAATATGGACTAGATACTGACCCGCGCCCCCGCGCGGGTGTTTGATTTAACTTGTGTTCAACGTAAATTCATAACTGATGATTTTATAAAATAAAGTCTTGTATATTTTTTATGTTTTATAATTTACATATAGAATAAAATATATTACTTTAATATATAGATGTTTGATAATACTTTTTATTGTACATAATATTATATTAAGAATTTTATAAATTGATGTAATTGTACGAATCATATATTAATCTGTTATTTCTTTGTTAATTTAATTTAAAATGAAGTAATAATTTTTTGGCATTAATTTTCTATGAATTAGTATTAACTTTATAATATCTTATTTTCTTAAAATTGAATTCTCAGATTTTTTTTATTTGACTAAATTAAATGAAGTAATACTATATTTAAAAATTGTTTATATAATCCTTTATATACTAAAGCACAAGTCATATTACCAATCAGATTCTGACACATGGATATGTTTAATAATTTAAAGAAAAATAAAAAAGAAAAACTTAATTGCAGAAAAAGAAATAATATAAAATTAAAATTTTGATAACACAGAAATCCCTAATATTTGTCCCACTACTTCATGCATGATCACGCACGATTATATAACTGCTACTCTTCATGTATAAGGTTTGACTCACGATCCTATTAGTTCATCTGTACATGCAATTTTGTTTCCTCTTTTTTGAGAAAGTTAATCTCTACATGCGTTCAATATAATTTTCTTTAATTCTTTGCAATTTCTCCATTGATCCTTTCTAACCATACAGATCGATGACTTTTGATGATACTCTTCAAGAGAAATTTTTCAAGAAATAAGGAAAAACACACTTTTAGTGGTGAAGCTTAGTGAAAGGTTGGCAGATGATTAAATCCAGGTTAGTGAAACTAAATATTTCCAAACTCTTCAATCATAATTTGATGTTGATTTTTTTATGAATCTTTATCTCCTCTAACATACTTATAATAATTATCATTATACATTTGATCAGTATGATTTTAAAAGTATACTAAATTAATTATCGATTTGGTAGGGAATGTTTGTTGGCTGTGGTGATGATAATTCGAGGATGAAGGTTTAGAAACTCATCTTAAAGCATATTTACAAGACTCCTAATACATTTTAGAAGCACTAAGCAAAAAAATGGTGGGGTGATAACTAGAAGGCAAATTTTGAATATTAAGAAACGGTGGTAGAAACGAGACTCACGTTTATTCTCTAAATCATTCAAACCAAATATGAGGTTGGATGTTTTGTAATCTTATAGAAATTAATTTCTGATCAATATACACTTTTGATTTTAATTACTTATATAATATTAATATTTTCAGATTTTTTTTTATAAAAAAAGTTTCAAAATAAATATAACAATGGAAATGAAGAAAGAAAAAAGAGAAAGAAATTAATATACAAGAGAAGAATAAAAAGACTACTGGAATGATGTTACTATTTTAGTTGTATTTTTGCAAGAATGATGTTTTCCCTGAATTTTCATATCTAATAATTTTTATTTTTGAAAAGAAAATGATCTTATATTTTATATTGATCATGTCCGTGCGGAGCACGGGATATATACTAGTATATACTATGTTGTGATTGATATTCTTATATGATCAATAATACCACAAACTTTATAATTGTAATTAGTTTTTTTTAAATTGCTTTTAAAACTTTATAATATCTTATTCTCTTAAAATTGAACTCTCAGATTTTCTTATTTGATTAAATTAAATGAAGTAATACTATATTTAAAAATTGTTTATATAATATATACTATGTTGTAATTGATATTCTTATATTATCAATAATACCATGAACTTTATAATTGTAATTAGTTAGTTTAAATTGCTTTTAAATGTAGTAGTAGAATCTGTAAATAAAAGAAAATATAAAAGGAAAGATTATTTATTGCAAATGTAATGGTTAAATATGTAAATAAAAAGAAATATTAAAAGATACTGCTATTAATGTTTCCAAACTTACTATTTTTTATTATTGCTATCCTTGTTTCCAAAGAGTACCAAAAGGTATTTGAGTTTTAATAATATATATGTTTAGTAAACACTACAAGAAAACTCGTCCATTACTAGGACGGGTTTTCCTCGTTATTTCCTAGTAAATGGCCTTTTACTAGGAAATAACGAGGAAACACGTTCATCGTAAAGCCATTTTCCTCGTAAGGTCCTAGCGAATTTACGAGGAAATGTTTTCTCGTAAAGGCGTGGTTATATTTTCCTCGTAAGGTCCTCGTACGCTTTCCTCGTAAGCTCGTAATAAGTTTTTCCTCGAAAGATCGTAGTAATAGATTACGAGGAAATTACTAGAACTAGTTACGAGGACATTACTTGGAATCATTTACGAGGATTTTGCTTCGAACTGTTTTTTCCCTATTAAAAAAAATAATTATAAATAATTATTTAATTTTTTAAAAATTAAAAAATCAAATTGTAAATAAAAATAAAAAAACAAAATATTTTATAAATAACTAAATAATATACAAAAAGTTTTTAAATTCATAATATATAATTAAAAATAAAAAAAACTATAGATGCTGGTCGTGAAATTGCTGAACGAACTGGTCGTCGTCCTGGCTCGGCAAATCCTCTCCATAGTTGGTTGCCGGCTGTGACTGTGATGGTGGATGCTGTTGGGTTGGAATCCTCCACGTTCCCGTCTCTGATGCAACATCTCCTGCACATGCGGGTTTCCAACCGCCATAATGTCGAGGACATCGGTGAGAGAAGTCACATGCTCGGTGAGCGAAGTCACATGAGACTGCGTCGCCTGCAACTCCGAGCGCAGCTGAGCATTGACATCGTGCTGCTCCTGATGATAAGACGATGTCGCTGCAGGGACATCGTTAACCGAGCCAATCCCGATGATACACCCCTTTTTCCTAGGGGCGACCTGGAAATAAAAATATTAATAACATTAAGAAATTTTTTTTTAAAAAATTAAAAATTAATAGTAAAACAAATTATTTACCTCCTCGTAAATCTTATCCACGTCAACAGTGGATAATATGACTGGAGTCCCAGTCTGCTGAGTCAGCTGGGTCTGGCGTTCGTCAACTCGGGCAACAAGCTCGTTGTAGATCCGCTCGGAAGCAGGATCTACAAACTGCCCAGCCTTGTTCCGGTGGGTCCTCTCGTAAAGGTCTTTCAGAGATGGAAGAACTCCTGTCTCCTTAGCCTAAAATTAATTTATAAAATTAAATAT